AATATATTTAAGACCCAAGCGGTCCGAACAAAGGGCACGACCCTTAACAAAAACCTTGGGAGACTGATCCCCTCCTCAAGTACATCGCGTACAATGCTAAGTGTGAATACATATAAGCAACGCAATAATTCTTGACAATGTCAAAATAAATAAATCGAAATATTAAATTTCAAAGTCAAACAAGGCAGAAAATCAAATGAAAGAGTAGTGGACATACCCATCTACATCAGCGATAAAAACAAACTAAGAAATCCATAAAAAAAAAAAAAAAACATAATAGGGATAAAAATAAAGAGGGGAGAAGGATAACTATCCCAGCAACTAAGTCTAAGCTCACCTACCACGAGCAGACGACGTACCCACGGTGGAGTCATCCGCAATCATGTCGTTCACGATCTCTGTGCCCGTCCCATTAACATCTACTTCAACTTCCTCTTCATCGGATATGCCAGCTTCCATTCCACGAATCACTTCCTCGCTGATCCCACCCGCATCGCGCAGATATTTGCGACAAGCACGCACTAATGGCTTATAAACCACAGCCAATGCGTGCTCCTCAATCATAGCAACACACTCATCACTACCTCGGAAACTAGCTTTAGTCTCCTCCACAATGGACTCCTTATAAGCCGCACCACCTGATGTCGCGAGGAACCTCTTCCCCGTCGCCTTCTCAGCTTCATACTTCTCTTTGAGCTGATCGTAGCATTCGTTCAACTTATGAACATCATCTTTATAAGCCTTCGCATCACCCCGGATAACCTCGAGCTCCTCCGTCCTCTCAGCAAGCTCCTTTGTCCTCTGAGCAAGCTCTTCAGAGCGTAGAGCGAGAACGGACCGCGCTTCCTCCAACTGACTTAGAAGCTCATCCTCACGTGCTTGACTTCGAGCCCGATCCTCTTCCTTACTAGCTTCCGCATTCCTACCGTGCTCCACGAGGTATCTCCAAGTTGCTACCAACTAATAAAAAAAAAAAAAAAAAAAAAAAAAAAATTTACACAAGGAAGAGAGGGAGTAACGTCTAATCTTGTTTTAAGTAAACAAAGACTCACCCGACAGATGTCCCCACCGGCTAACTCCAACATGTGAGAAGGACCCTTACCAGACATCCGAGCACGATCATACTCCCGAACAAATCCCTCGGTACTCAACAAGGGCAAATCATGATCCGACACATCCCAATACGACTCCTTACCGTCGCGATTCACACCATAGGTAAACAATTGTTTCCCTCCTCCACCATGGAAAGCATAAGTCTCCTCTGGATCTACCCGTGGACGCTTAGGCACAACCACATACTCAGTATCCACCCTCTTTCCCTTGCCACGATCCCTCTTCGGTGGACGCTCTTCCACTACGCCAGCACTGCTACGATCATCTGCTACTACTCGAGGACTTTCTACATGAACCTCCTCGCGAGGCAAACCATTCGAAGAACCTCCCAACTTAGAAGGAACCTTCTTCATTGCCTTCTTCGATGCCTCCTTCGACGTCCCATTCGCCTTAGCCTGGAGTGCCGCAAAGGTGATACCCCCATCTACAAAAGATAACAAACACATAAGAAACATGCAGTACACATTACCCAAGAACTAAAAAAAAAAAAAAAAAAAAAAAAAAAAAAAAGAGAGGAACACAAGTCAAGGCAACAAAAGGATATACGATGCTGACCCTTCACCGTCGGTATCAAACTCCTCGGATCAAATTCCACATCACACAACCCAGATTCCTCAATCCTCTTCGCCATATTTGCAGTCATCGAGAAACTCTCACATGTAGGATTCCAAACTACGGGAACGTCAAAAGTGGGAGCCCTCACGTAAAAAAAATAAGTCTTCCATTTCCCCAAAGATAGCTTCACACTCTTCACGAATTGGTAACGAACGCGAGGATGGAAGCAAAAGAAAGGCATCTCATTGGGCCGATGTAGCGTAAATAACGCCTTGAACAAATTTACACTCACAGGCAAACCTACTAGAGACACTCGGTGATGAAAAGCCTCGAAAATAAGAAGGGCAGTCGGAGTTAACTGACTGTACCCTATCTTGAATTCCTCGCAAACCTTCAACAAAGTCGGATGCGGGGTAATCTGAGAAGTACATGTCAAGTACCCCAAAAATACCGTATGAAACCCATCGGGTGGCGAATACAAGCGGTCGCCCTTCTGAGGTAACAACAACTCAACGTTACTCGGCGCCCCAGATAAACGACGAATAGAGCGCAGATGCTCTTCCGTCAACACACTATCAAAATTAACTAAGTCCAAATTAATTGGCTTAATTTTCTTTTGCCTCCTCGTGTCAACCTCAACATCACACGGCGGAATATCATCTTCCTCCTCCTCTTCATCCGTCAGCTCAACTTCACTACTTGGCACTGCATGATCACTCGCCAAAGGAGCTTGATTCGAATCATCACTATCGGTCCCAAAATCCACGACTCGACGCCCATAGCGACGTCCACTGGAATTCGCTTCATCAACTGTAGGGCAAAAATTAATATTGTTACGCACTTCTACATCGTCACTCCACGATTCAATAATTTCTCGCCGACCAAAACTTGCCCCGTTTAAAACAACACGCGAATCAGCACCCTCAGAAATTTGCCCGACAATTTCGCCCGAACCGGAGTCAAATCCGACCTCCAACGCGCTCTCACGCGCGCGCGTGGCCCCAAAAGGGGCAGATCCACGCGCGCGCGCGTCATCCACCTGCCCAGCGCCACGTGCCCCCTCCCCACTGGCCCTAGCGCGCGCGTCCGTCTCACCTGACCCACCAGACGCGCGCGCGCGTATCTGCACCGCCCGCCCAACCTCGCATCTGCTGCCGCCAAGTGGACCAATGGCGCGCGCGCGTTCACCCAACCCGCCAACCGACGCGCGCGCGCCTCTTTCTCTCTCCTCCACCGACGCGCGCGTGCGTCTATCGGACGGCGTGCCGCGCCCCACCTCAGCAACATCTCTCTCTCTCCTCTCCTCGGAAACAGTGCCAGCCTCCACATCAGCGGCTAGGCTTGGCTCCACACCCTCCTTGAAGCGCGCGCCCTCACACAAATTGAGCGGCTTGGCTCCGCGGCTCAAGCCACCAGCAACCCCCCTTTTCTCCCTCATCTGCACTAAATTCCGTGAATCTTCTACTGCGGATCCGATTTCCGCACCCGATACCACAAGTTTCTCGCGTTCCACACCCACCGTCCCAAAGGTTTTCCTGCCCCCTCCAACCGGATCTCGAAGTTTAATTCGCAAAGATTTCGAATTACCCGAGTTCGACATCACAAAATTTTTTCCCCAGAGAAGCAATCAAGAAAACAACAGATTTTCTACTCTACCGCAAAAAATATTTTTCAAAGAGAAGAATAGCACAAAAGAAGATTGAGAGTTAAAAATACATACCCATATTATTTCGTAGGAGTTGAAGTTTAACGCTTTCCACCGCACAAGGAGTCTATTTATCTGGCCCTAGTATATTATTTAAAACCCTTAAATATATACATGGCTGCCAAATAAATACAATAATCCCTTATTTAAATTAAGGAATTATTTCACCACCAACGGAAACAATTCAATAGACGACGCAATTAACTCTCGACACGACCCGGATACCTCTAGACAAGTCCCCGTCTCGAATCGAGAGTTGGGGGGCTTAATGATATACCTAATTGGGCCGACCCAATGGGCCCCAATTCATTTAACAAGTAGGCCCAATACACGAAAGCCCAAACACCTTCAAAATAAGGCTTGGGCCCAACAAAATAAGCCCAACTCAATCAATGACATATAAATAGAAGTTTTATTCATTTGTAGAGGTACGTTCTCATTTTTTGACTATCAACCTCGAGTTTATTCTCTCTACTCTCTCTACGATCCGTACATCTGACTTGAGCGTCGGAGGGGTTTCCGCCGGATCAACCCCCGGCTTAGTTCACGTGTGCTCATTTTGTAGGGACCTCAGGAACATCGAGTTGACTAGCTACTGATCAGCTTTGCTCTCCCAGCTCGTTTTCTATACTATCCTAGGTGAGCTATATTTTAGCTTCATCAAATATGTATGAATATTGATTCTTGAGAAAATCACAAAGAAAGAAGAGAAGAAGAAGATGATGATGGTGAAGAATGTCTGTATGAGTGTGGGTGTACGAGAGAGAGAGAGAGAGAGAGAGAGAGAGAGAGAGAGAGAGAGAGAGAGAGAACAAAGACTAAAGGAGAAGAAAGAGTAAAAAGAGGGCCCACAAAATTTTTGGGATGAAATGACCAAAAATCCTTTTATATAGCATGTGTATCGCGCGTGCGTCGGAAAATGAGAAGATTCGCCGGAATATTCCCCTTAGGTGGTTATGTGCTTCAAAAAAGTGAGTTTTGGTATGCCTTGCAACTCTTTTTAGTTAAGGTGGCAATGTGCAAAAACGGATAAAGTTCAGATGGCAAAATACTATTAACCCTTCTAATATATCATCTCCAATTTTAGATGTTAACCTTGGAGATGCTCCAACCCAAGTGGAGTTAAAATGATAGAAAGCACTAACTGCAACTTATGAATGATTTGAAAGGAATAATAGTTCACAACACAACTCACAAGAGTAAATAATCGTGCTACTAAACGAAAAAAAAATAGCACGTTTTTACTTGAACTCATTAATTCGTTGTACGGTGGCCCCTAAATTGAATTTTCCGGCAATTTTGGACGGAATGTTAAATCATATGCGTTGCACGTGATATTGGAGGCCGTATGGTGGATGCGGTGGAGGAGATTTTAATTCGTTGCACGGTGCCCCATAAACTAAGGAAGAATAGGAAGATTTACATTTCTCTCTCTAAGGAAGAATCGAGGACATTTATGATTTGACCGGAGAGAGAGAGTGGACATTGGAGGCCATATGGTGGATGCGGTGGAGGAGATAATTAGGCAGAGGTAACTGATTGATCAAAACAAAACCTACTTGGTCATGTTGACAAAACGGTATTATACTAAGCTTCCTTTACCCTACCAATCCAACGCACGAATCCAGAGCACATTCCAAAACATTTATTACAAAAGCGGCTCACGAATAAATCAAGAAAATATCCAAAACATAAATATTAATGATCACCGAAAAAAAAAAATTACAAATTAAAACAGGAAAATATCAAATCATAAACAGTTTTATGAAAGCTTTGAAAAGGCATATCCATTAATGCAACACTTGCCCAACAGAATCTGCAGCACTTGCCGAATAGAATCTTCACGGTAAGCCATCTGCAACACATAATAGCATGTAAATAAAAATCAACATGGAATTGCTCTGTTATATATATAATGTTTAATGAAATAGTGGCTAATGAACCGAAAAATGATTAGAGGATAAAAGATACATTATATATAGTTTATTGTTTTTATTTGATGTAAAGATTAAAAAAAAAAAAAAGATGCTGTTATATTTGGTAACAAGTAAAGATAAAAAAAAAAAAAAAAAAAGAAGAAAAAAAGGGAATGCCACTGATGTTTTGATATCACTCTTTAGAGTTTAGAATATACATCTTCGTTGTTTCGAGTTTCAAGGGCTCAATGGTTCAAAACACTTTGAATAGACTGCAGGACAATGATATAGAATGCAATAGTTTTCGTTAGTTTTCACATAGATTTGACTACCATTAATTACCTTCATAGGACGGTACTTGAAGAATGGATTTTAGCTTCATCACCAGAATAGTATCGCCACTCGCGCATTTTCTTCATAAAGGATGGTTTGCAGTCATCTATGTCTAGTAGTTTGGGGAACCTCGATCGATCCAAGATGTTTTCCAATTTATAGCAATGCCTAACAATCACACGAGTTAAGCATCGACTATCAATTTGCAAGTTCTGAATATCCAGGTCTTCCAGCAGCAAGAACTCCAGACTGAGGAACTGTCCTCTGCTAATTTTCCACAGAGGGCCGCAAAAGGCATACCATCGCAATTTGAGCACTATAAGAATCGGTAATGATGCAATCACTTCCATATTCTCCCAAGTCAATCCACATCCACTCAGGCTTATCTTCTTAATGTTCGTAGGAAAAATCGGAACTGAACGAACAATCAGAGAGCTCAGATTAGGATTTACAACAACGCATTTGAATGACTCAAAGCTCTCATAGACAGAGGCAAAGTGACTGAAAAAATTGAAGGTTTCGATTGAGTCGTGTGCCGATTCAATCTGAACGGCTATTCTCTTCAGATTGGGGATTCGAGAAAGCACTTATATGGTACAACTGTGAACACTCAAACCTGAAACTGTTATAAGATTCTCAAGATGAGAATCATCCGGAGGAGGTGGGAGGTCGAAGCCCTTGCAATAAAGTTGCTTCAGTTTATGCATGTTCCAAATATCTATAGGCAGATAAGCTGGACCATTATTCGACAATTTGATGTTATGATGCCGAGTGAAAATCAATACCTCGAGGTTCCCGAGTGTGGATATGGAGTTGGGGAGCTCTCTATCACACGTGATAGAAAGATACGTCAAGTGAACTAATGCAAGTAGTTGATGTGGGAACTCGTAGAAGCGGATCGCAAGTGCATCTAGTACCTTGAGCAATCTAAAACACAAGGGCAACAATACTGGATATTGTTGTTTTGGACCGAAACAAAGAAGAGATTGTGCACTCGGAACTGATTCCATCCATTCATGAATTTGTGTGAAAGCAAGAATAACATTATTGTGGACGCACAAACGCTGCTGGCTTCTGATGTTCTCTGGAGTACAATCGGTGTATTTTTTCAGGATATGGAAAAACTTTTCACTTTTAGCTTCATTAACACATAGACTTCGAAAGGTGAAATGCAGTCTACAGTTCTTAAATTTATACTTATCAATAGAGGCCTGCTTCTCTCTCAAAACAACACTTTGCCGAATAAGTTGATCTAAGTAGTTTCCGGCAGTTTCTTCAATCCTCGGGTATGTATCCAGAAAGCCTTCGGAGACCCACAATTTGATGAGCTTTGATCGAGAAATCCCATAATGTTTAGGGAACACACCCATATACAGAAAGAATGGCTTTAGATACTGAGGCAACATCATGTAACTAAAAAATAGTGCCTTTGACAGGGGTGTATCGTCATATCTTGTGATGACGAGTGGATCTTCTTTTTCCGATAATGTCTTCCATTCTTGAAAAGATTTTCCGCGCAGATTCTCTCCAACTTGTATAATTGCTGCAGGGAGTCCTTCACAGTTTTCGGCAATCTTCTTCCCAATTTTCTCAAGTTCTCGACTGCACTTCTCCTCTCTATTACTAAATGCGGTCCGATAAAGTAGTTTCCAACTGTCGTTGTCGTTGAGAAGTGGTAATATAATAAACTTATCTGTATAAATGTAGTCTGATGAACTTTGGATCTGAGATATGATGATGATCCGACTTCTTTTTTTGTTTTCCAGAAAACCACTAGGGAGCATATACATGTCGTCAGCCCATACATCATCTAAGACAATTAGATAATTTTGAGTAGATAAAGCCTCCGACAATTGCTTCTGCAAACAATCCTTGTCTAGTTTATCAGAAGGGATGACGACACCAAGTTCATTGAGAACACGCAACATAATATCTACCGATCGAGTATAGCGTGGGCCGATGTGCAGAAATAAACGAGTTTCGAACTCTTTTATAACAAGTGGGTCGTTGTAAAATTGTTGAACAAGACTAGTCTTACCGATTCCGGTCATGCCCAAAACTGATTTAACTAAGTCGTAGGATTTGGTATCCAAAATCCATTGTTTAAGTGCTCTAATTTGGTCGTCTACTCCCACCAGAAGATTCTGTTGTTGATTCCAAGTATTATAATCTGAAGAAGAAGCAGAAGTAGAATACCTGCTGCTGCAGATCTGTTGTTGTTGGTCGTTGTCATCGGTGTTCAATGAAGTTGCTGTGACAAACGAAGTAAATTCTTCTTCGACTATTCCGAATTGTTGGGAGAGAGACAAAGCTAAACTGATGTCATCATGTTGTCGATCAGACAAGTGGGAGTGGATAAGATCTTGGAATATTTTGACAGCATCTATCACTCGTCTTTCGGGAGCTGCCGCATCAACTATCTTGCTGCTGGGAATTATATTTTAAGTCCCTCGTATTTTGCCCGATTCCACTTTCGGCCCCCTTGTTTCAAAATTCACAAAATAGACATTAAAAGTTCAATTGTAAAAATTTAATATTTGTTGGTTTCTCTTTATTTTCTATTATCTTATATATATTTTCTCCAAAAGTACTGAGGCTCAATTTTATATCATTTAATTTGCAAGAAATATACTAGCTACTAAATTTTTGGGGTTGAGACATTTTGCATCTTTCTTAAAAACAACTAGCCTTACAGCTGTGTCATGACAATAGCTGATCACCAAGAAGAATCTTTTGATTTAATATTCATTTGCTGCCGGCCACTTGCGAATTGGTGGTGTTAGTTTTATTTCCCTGAAATTTGTATTAAGGTAAAATACACTTTTCACCCTTGTACTATGGAAAATGTCGCATTTACCCCCGTAGTATCGAAAACTACAAACAACCCACTGTTGTTAACCATTCCGCTAGTCAAAGCTAATATTGCAAGTTGACCACATTTTGTCGAATTTTCTGGACAATTTTACCCCTTTTAGCCTACTATTCCATATAAAGAAAACCATTATTATAAAAATCTCATAAATATTATAAAAAAATATAAAAAAAAATAATAAATAAATTTCAGTTCACAGATTTAAAAAATTACCAGAACCCATTTTCAAATATAATTTGGAATTAAATGTTTCAAAAAATTGGCAAATATAGTTAAAACTAATAAAGTATTTCATTTATGGAAATTCCGCAAAATATTAAATACGAAATTCCTAAAAAAATTATAAGTTTGTAAAATTACAAAAAAAAAATCGTATGAAAGATAGAAAAAAATATTTTAAATTATTACTTATATTTTCTTCATGTTTATAATATTCTAAAAAAAAAATTGTACCCATTAACCAGATTGATTGATTATCTTCCTAAATATGAATCAACAAAGGGACATCAATATTGCAAAATTAGTAGCAAATTGAACACAAATCAAGATGAAGCAAATGTATCCGTTTTCTTTGTTTTTTGTTTTTTATTTTCTTTTGGGATTTTGTTTTCAATTTTTTTTTTGAGGGATTCAATATTTTTTTTTTTGGGTTGATTTTTTATTTTATTCTATTTTGAATTCAGGGTAATTTTGTCATTTCATCTAAGTGAAGACGACAAATGAAAAAAAGAGGCAGTGTGCTTTGTAAAATATAATATAGGGGGTTTCTTGCTAAATTTTTTGACACAAGGGGTTTTTCAGCAATTCAAGATTACACCGGAAGATATATTCAATTAACTCTTATTATTTGTGTTAGATTCAGTTATTCAATACTGTTTCTCTAAATCATGTAACAATTTGTAAATATAATGAAAACGACATACAATTTCTTACGTGATTCATATACAAATGTATCATAATTCAAAGGGCCCACTGCAAACAATAATTTCCTGATTTCAATTTTACGAGTACAATAATTGGACTTATTCAAAAGTAAAGATTCCTTCTTGTATGATACTCGAAATTGTGATCTTCAACTTGCAGTATATCCACCACTCCGTATGGTTAAGATCCCTTCAATGTTGAATTCTTTCAGTTGGCGGGTTGACCTCCTCTCGAGATCTTTTAAGATCTTTAATTTTACCGAAGAAACTTCACGTCTGGAACTAAATATAAAAATTGAGAGTAGAAATATTTTCTTTGAAAATTTTCTCTCGATAAAATGCACACCAAAACTCGTCCCACGTACTGCTCTTTTATATATGTGTGAAAGACTGAAGAAAATATGAGACGGTAAAATATATATATTTCATTATACTCTACTACATTAATCCACGATCGTCAAATAAATGCTAATATATAAAGGGTATAAAAAATTTTGGGGACCCTAAATTTTAAAAATAATCTCAGAGGCCCTAGGCGCCTACTCTGCCGCCTCTTAAAATTGGCCCGGGATCAAATAATGTTTTGATCTCTGTCGACGAAAAGTAGTCCTTTTTAACTTTGATGCGCTTCTTCAAATGTTTGCAATGTCTTTTATATGAAATATTCAGAGAATAATAGTTCTAGTTAACAAAAGAAAACAACAAATTTCGGGTTGATTCGAATAGAACATTAAAGCAAAGAACATTAGAAATAGGAATCCATCAAACTTCTTTCCTTGCACAAAAGGAGAAATCCTTCGCCCCTAGGCCCTCATTCGTTCGCCATACAAGTATTTGATGGGGTAATGTAAATGATGGTGACTCAACAGCCCGTTAAGATAGCAGACCCCAACCTAGTGCCCACAAGGAACCAACCTTCATTGAAGTTGAAATTCCTACACTTCAACTGCCAGTATTCGATCCTAGGACCTTGTACCAACTTACCACTTCCAAATCAGTGGAGCTATACCCATGCGGGCATCAAACTTCTTTCCTTCCTCCGTGTATGGATTATAGAGCAATACATGTCGTAAGCAATACATGTCGTATTTGCTAGCGTCAAAGTCGAGTCTTCTCAAACTCCTCTGCTTCTTTTCATCACTTGCAAGCCATTGCAAAAATAAAAATCATAGTTATAGCTCATTTAACTAAGGCCCTGTTTGGTTGCTAAGATAAGTCATGATTAACTAAATAGTTGGACTTAATTTAATTGTTTGGTATCCTCAATAAATTGCCGGGCCGATCGGCCAAAAATTAGATAATTATGGTTTATCTTGCCTTCTAATGAGTTTTTTTTGTTGGATGTTTCAAGCTCCAACAAAATAATTGGGTTTCATTAGATTATTTGATCTTATCTTGGCTAATCTTATCTTGCCAACCAAACGGGGCCTAAGATTATTATAAATAGCTGATAAGATCTTCCATATGATAAGTTGGTTTAAGAGCTGATAAGTTGTTACGTCTTATTTTTTAAATTAATTTTTAAAATGTTTGGATACTGAGCTTATAAGCTGTTTTCATAATAAGATCTTAAATAAAAATGTGAAGTATAGTGATTTTGAAAAAAGTTCTCAAGCAGCTTATGTTTTGAATTTTTTATTTTTTTACCACTCACTTTAAAAGAGCTTATAAGCCCTTACATATCTCATAAGCCTTTTTAACAGCATTTAAGCTTAGCCAAACAACCTCTTAGTAATCACTCAAAAAACATCATTATTTCCAAATTTGCTTCTCAGTAACATCAATTAGAGCAACTCCAACGGGAGTATCAAATAGATTATCAAACCCATAAACCACTTTTTTGATATCCCAAAATTAAAAATTTCTACTCCAACGAGTATCATAATGGATAAGTATTTTGATATTCTACCTCTTTGTATGTAAAAATACATCCTAGAAATTTAGTTATCAAAAAAAATAACCACCTAAACATCCAATCAAAAAATGACACGTGGCAATTACAAATAAAACCACTAAAAAACTTCCAATTGATTATTAATTTTGATAACCATGGTTGGAGTAGATAAACTGTAGATGGATATTAAAATATTATCTTAATTATCAAATAACTATTTGATAATCAAATTTTGATGTTTAGTATTGGAGTTGCTCTTATGTAAACTTAACTGCCTTTTACATTACAAGAATGGTCTCACGAATAAATCAAGAAAATATCCAAAACATAATTTAAAAAAAATTCAGTACAATACATATATTGATTTTACAAAAAATAAGTTTAAAAAAAAATTAAATAAAAACTTAAATAAAAATTAAGTAAAAATTAAATAAAAAAATTAATAGAAATATATAAATTAAACAAACAGGTTTATAAGAAAAAAAAATAAATAATAAATAAATCAGTGAAATTAATAAATGCAGGACCAGAAATGTTTAATGTAGTTTGACCGAAAAGTGCATATAAAGATAGTATAGTACTTTCGCCTCTCTAGGGAGTATGTCAAAGGAATAATTCAGATCGAGTTTATCCCTTGTTTAGTAGCCACTTAAGGTTATATAAAATAAGCCCCCATATATATATATATATATATATATATATATATATATATATATATATATATATATATATATATATATATATATATAGGTAAATGGCAAATATGCCCATAACAAGGGCATTTAATTAAGGGGTCTTAAGATATAAGTCCCTGGTGACAAACCTTATTAGAACTAAATGACACGTCTAATTAAAATTTGATTCACATCCTTTATCATAATTCATTCCAAAAATGCCCCTCCACTCACAAATTCGAAATTGTATCAGATTGTAAATATTCTATGATGTACTATGGTGTACTATGGTATTATTTAAAATTTTTAATTTGCATTTAGCATTTTTGTTATTTTATTTTTTACATGGAATACGTTTCTCTAATCGATTTTTTTTTCTACATAATTTCGAAAATGATGATTTTTTTAATTTTTTTTCCGGTCGTAATCATCTGCAGACACCCGTAGTTTCGTTTTTGTCAAATAATACAACAGAGTTTAAAGAATACTATGATATGCTATGGTACACTATGACATACTACGGTATACTATGGTGTACTATTCAACAAAATTCTGTGCAAAAATTAAAAAAATAAAATCTCAGATATGCACAACACAGAAATAAAACTTACAGATAATAATACACAACATAGATGAAGCTGAGATTCACATTAAACAAGAAGTGGAGTTCTTGTAGCAAAACTAGCCCTATAATTATGACTTCTACTGATTGGAAGGTGAACATAAACTTCATGCACATCTTGTTTATAAACCTCTCCCCTGTCTCTATCTATCGCATAGCACACGTACACCGTCTCTATAACATTGTCTAATACATGAACGAAGTATCCCAAAATCACTATCAGCAATACCCACGCCATTACTGCCACAAAATACGCATCATCGCCGAGATGAACCACCGCTTTTATAACAACGCATACCTGCATATTACGAAAACAGGAACTTAACTAAAAAAAATCGATTTATAGGTAAGTAAAAAGCAAGAAAAGAAACAGATAGTACATATCCTCCATATTTTCGATTAAAATCAGGGTCCATATTTTAGTTTTTTTAAATCATGGACTTGAAACGTAAATCACAATTTCCAAACAAGGCGCAAATCTAATCAGAATTACCAAAGAATTACCAAACAAGGCCTACAAGTGTATATAAAACTTACTAGTACAGCATAAATAACTGATAACACGAGCACAATTCCAGTGAGTATGCGCTGCCAAATCCTACCTGCAAAAATCTAGTCATTCACCAATCCTAGCCTTCAACAAAATTAAACCCTAGCCATCGACCAAATTAAACTCTAGCCGTCGACCAAAATAAACCCTACCCTATATTCAAAAACCTAATGGTCCACCAACCCTAGCCGCCGAGCAAATTAAACCCTAACCGCCATAGTTGTCGACCGAATTAAACCCTAGCCGTCGACCAAATTAAAACCTAACCACCATCCACCGTAGATCTGACCAAATTAAACCCTAGCCGCCATAGCCGTCAACCAAATTAAATCCTAGCCGTCGACCAAATTAAAACCTAGCCACCACCCGCCGTAGATCTGACCTCCACCACCATAGTCGTCGTAACCTCATGCCTCCATAACCATCCCCTTATTAACGCCCCTCCACCGTCATAGTTGCGCCATAGCCATCGCCCCCTCAATAATTGTGGGAAGTGATGGAGAGAGAGAGCGAGAGAAAGAGAAACGAGAGAGGGAGAACGAGAGACGGAGAAAGAGAGAAAGAGAAACGAGAGAGGGAGAACGAGAGAGAGAGAAGAGGGAAGAAAATAAGCAAAACAGATCTGGAATCGTGTAGAATTTATGGATTTAAGTTGAGGGCAAATTTGGGATTAAAAAAAAATAAAGGATGTGGGTCACATTTATTTTTGTAAAAATGATTTAGTTCAAAAAAAAATATTAGGGTTGTAACTCATATCTAATTATGTTTCCAACTAGGGACCTCTAGCATATTAACCCTTTAATTAAAACAAGAAAGACTAAAGACTTATGGCTTCTATTACATCTTGACTCACAATCTCCCAAGCACTTTTGTTTGAAGAAGGGACAGAATACCCATCAGGGCCCGGGGCCTTGTTACTTTTAAGGGGGAACCTAGTTCTTTTCATTTTCTCGGCTTCCACGGAAAGGGACAAAAGGCATCTGTCCTCCTGCGAAAAGGTGAAATAAAAAATATCTATAATCTCTGCCACCAACTCTATTTCCAAAGTAGGGTCACCACAAAAAAGATGCTGGAAAAAGGAGACAGCCTCTTGCTTGACTAACAGCTTTATGGTCTTATCATTTTTCTCCCTCCGCATTGGCATTGTAAACACTCAACAATCTGTTCTTGGACTACCTAGCTCTCACCTTTGTCTTTCAAATAAATTCAGCCCATTCAAACTTAAATAAGGAAAATATAAAAATTACCCCCAATTCGTTGAAACACAATTCAACTCCAATTTCATGATTTACACCCCAATTTAGCCCAATTTCATCAATAAATCATTTTTAACCCTAATTTCAAATTTGACCCCAATTTTGACCCGCCACAACCGAAGACCGCCGGTCGCCGCCGTTGACCGGCGTTGAATTTTTTTTTTCTTTTTTTTTTGAAAAAAAAAATTTTTCCTTAAATTTTTTTCCGGCCGGTCAACTGCCGTTGACCGCCGGGTCTCCGGCGTTGACTTTTTTTTTTTTTTTGGTTTTTCTTAAAAAAAATATTTTAATTAATATTACTGTCTTTGCAGCTAAATTACTGTCTCCGGCAGTTATTTAACTGTCGGAGACAGTAATTTAACAGTTAATTGACTTTTTTTTTTCTTAAAAAAAATTATTTTAATTAATATTACTGCCTTAGCTGCTAAATTACTGTCTCTAACAGTAATTAAACTGTCTTAGACAATAATATTAATAATATTACTGTTCGGAAAAATAATATTAATAATATTACTGTTCGGAAAAATAATATTCATAATATTGTTGTCCCAAACAGTAATATTACTGTCTGAGACAGTAATTTAGTAGCCAAGACAGTAATATTAATTAAAATATTTTTTTTAAGAAAAAAAAAAAAAAGTCAACGCCGGAGACCGGCAGTCAACGGTGGTTGACCGGCCGAAAAAAAATTTCAGGAAAAAAAATTGAAAAAAAAAAATCAACGCCGGAATCTGGTCGTAAAAAACATTTCAGAAAAAAAATTATTTTCTGAAAAAAAAAATTTGGGGGTTAATGTTATATATTTGTTTAAATCCGGGGTCAATGTGTAATATTAAGGAAGTTAGAGCATAATGGGTGGAATTGATAAGAATTATATTATGGAGGGTATTTTAGACTTAAGACATGGGGATGAGTTTAATTGAGAGACTGTTTTTTCTGTGGACCAAAATGCATTTAAGTCCCATGTGATGGGTCTTTTTGCCATTCGCCATATATATATATACACACTAGGTTAGAGCACCGCGCAATGCGCGGTGCCGATGGCCTGTTTACATACTTGCAAAATGTGTTTTATTTATGCTAGCGTAAGTTTGAATGGTTGATGATACGCCACATGTGACGCGTGAAAGTTGCCCCCATATCCTGATCAATATTAGAAGACTGGATATAAGGGTCACATTAAAATAGAGCATTTTATAAGGTGAAAAAGACGGGTTATAAAATAAGAGATAATATTAATATGTAAAAAGGTAATGACCAAAAAATATATTTACTAATGATACAAAACTGATGTAATACAAGCTATAAATATGTAAAGGATAGAATGTTCGTATAACAACAGTGTCGACCACAAGTTGAGACCTTTGTTTCACTACAATTTAATTAGGGAATTGCTTTTTGCGGTTTGAAAATTGCTTTTTGCGGTTTATAACAAAACCTCCCAAAAAAACACTTTATTTCACTAAAACCCCTAAAACTTCCCAAATTAACCAACTAGAAATATAGTGAGTTACTTGTGCATGGCCTTGGAGAGACTGGAACTATCATTGAAAGAAGTCCATGTTTTCCTAATTAGCTATTTCCACACTGCAAAACAAGCATATTTTGTTAGTTAATCCACACCCTCACACACACACACACACACACATGCAGAATCCGTCATAGCTCTATCACACATAAAAGAACGGAAAAATATCTTTTAATTTATATAATTGAGAAACAGTAGTGAACAAATATCATAAGGAATAAATGCAACACGGACTCGTATCATAAGGAAAATGGAATACCGGAGAAATAAAATGTATTGAGGCAAAGAAAAATATTATTGTCACTTCAACCATGCGCCTGGATCCAGAATCACAACCTAAATGGTTTTACCTTAAAGGAAAAATATATAAACTCACCAATTCAGGTTGTCGAACAAATTACTGTATGCATCGGTTGGCTCTACAAACTTGTCAACATCGTGGCTCAATCTATTACTTTATTTCTTCACGTAAAATAATTTTTGAAAATGGAAAAATCAGCCAACATAAACTTTCCAACTTTAAGAACATAAAAGAACTCATAATAAGTTATCACAACTAAAAATTATAGCCTATTTCATCCGCCTAGATCGTTGTTGTGCATTCTAGAAATATCTTCCACGAGAGGATCACCTACAAACTGCGTATTAATATAAAAATGTACATGGATGAATAATTAAGAGTGTCTCCCATGTATACAAAGTCACTCTGTTTGATTGAATAATACAAGTTTAATATTATAACCATCCAAAAGATAATTGTATATGAGTCCAAAGCTTCAATAAAACTCCCAATGAACTAAAAAAATAAAAACTAAACTCAAGCAGCAACTTATGACTAATGAAAAGAGAAACACAGACAAATTATAAAACCTTTGTAGACCACAGATAACCAAAAAACATGCATCAATTATTCGTTTTTGAAGAATTGGCACTCAAAAAGTGAAAGTGAAACTCATACGTATCCAGACGGGGCAAAGAATTGGCGGCAGTCAGGTGCCCCGTCGGCCCCACAAATGCAATCCAAGCAGATGTGCTCCCTCCATAGCTTCAACTCCCTGCCCTTACCACGCCAATAAAAAAAAAATCCAACATATTAGCGTCAAAAGAACCACCCATCTATAGCAATTTGTACCAAACAATAAACTAAAAACAATAAACCAAATAGAAGAACACTTTTGAGGAAATATCAATGATGAATTTAAAATTCTTTCCCTCGTAAGATCACCATGAGCTGACAATGTAAGTTTAGAATGATGCATTAAGGAGGAATCATGGATGACCCTATTAAAGTCAAAATAGAAATATTAGTTCCAAATTTTGAAAAAAAAGACAAGCAACAAGAAAACTAATGCAAATGGTTAAAACCTAGGTCCTAGAATAGTAAAAGAACCTGATAATGAATGTCAATTTTCCCCATTTCAGGCCTCGTTCTTTCACTGTCCTATTGTTTGAAGCTAATAGCCTGCTTTTAATTGGATGTGTAGCATGCAATAAAAACAAAAGAGCATCATGCTTACGGAAAATGAGCTCTCAAATCAGCAAAAGTATTATGTAGCAAATTAAACAGTCATATATAAAGCAACAGCTGCTTTACAATAAAAGGAAACCCTCAGCAGAGCACAATCCACAAAGACGAAGAAACTTGACTTAGAAACCGTTACATGATAAATTTTCAACAGCAGTGAATAAAAGCAAGGACTTACTCTTCCAATTCTCATTTTAATTAGTCAGAGATTGTTGTAAGCATATTCAAAAGGGTAAACATATATCAATATTTAATAGTCGGCACTCCAGCTCATGCAAAGAGATACAAATAAATGTTACTGTGAGCAGATAAAGACATTGAATTACCTTCGGAACTGCGGCCTGGAATACAAAATTGGAGTAGATATCAGGCGACTTGCTTGAAAATTGAGCAAAATTCTGTCTATAAAATTACTTTCCGATTAAAAAACATTAAATAATGCTATACCATTATTTTTTTGTTATTAGATAAATTCCATACCACAGCAACTGTAAGAGTGCCCGCATTGTCCCTTCCTAAAAAGTCACGAGAACAGCTTTCAATAGTCTGCGACAAACCACATTGTTCATTAACAAAAGTTATCGAATAAATAATCAATAAATTAAATAAAATCACAATATACCAATCTAATAATTTGGTGGGATCTCGAGCTCATGTCATTAAGGGACGTTTCTCCAATTTGTCTTTGAGCTGCAAGGATTAACAAAAATGATGATTTTGTACTCTTAAGCCTTGTTTGGCAATCGTGATTAGGCATGATAGACAATATAATCAAGCTTTATCGAATGTTCCCAAACGAGGCCCTAAGAAATGTAACAGTCGTTTTGATTAGGAGCAATGGTTCCAAATTATCAAGAATCGAAACAACGGAGTCAAGATATTAAATACGAATTAAATATATCAGTTTTCTTATTTCTTACCTTCACATATACAAAAGAGATGAATCACATGACTCCAGTCCCTTAATATCTCCTCTGTCAGCATCTCGACTACGGTGCCTCTCTGGCGAAATAAGTACGATAAGAGAAATCGAAAATAACAAAATTAAGAAAAAAAAATTAAAATTGAGCAAAATCGCTTGTCAATGAAAAATAATTCACCTCTGTATCATCGAGAAGTCTTAGTGGAGTGTTATCTACACTGAGTAGATCTCTCACCGATTTGTTGTAGATCTCCATAGCAGAGAATTTGAACACAAAATCTCTTTCTTGGTGCTGAAAAATCCCTCGATTATTAAAAAAAAAAGCATAATTTGCAAAAAAAATACGAATAATGAAGTACAGTTTCATCTTACCTTCTGTATGTATCCATATATGTCAGGTAGTGCGTATTCAGTTATTCCAATCATCGTGTACGTCTTTCCGTTGCTCGTCTGTCCATACGCAAAACCACGTGCTACAAAAAAAAAAATTCATCTTTGGTTCGAATAAATAATATCTATTTATATTACATGAATCCAAAAAAATTAGAAAAGAGAGAAACTAAACTCACAATTGATTCCACTAATAACCGAAAGCACAACATCCTTAGCTCCCTTTTCGTAAACTTCTCTCGTCGAGCAACCACAAGTCAAAAATTACGAAACAAAAAATTGTTCTTTCACAATTGCTTGCCGCAAAAGCTTAAAAACACAGTTCACTATATACTATGATCTTGTCTGAAACACCATCATTAATCAAAGTAAAATTAAACAAAATTCGATAACCCGAAATCCCGAAAAAATCACACTCACCAAATGTATACGAAGTGGGGTACATTGATCTCTCCGAGGCAGAGAGAGCGGAATTTTTGTAAATAATCGTCTTGTTATTGATGCATTCCCAATCCGAAACATCGTTACTCAGAATTTCCCTACCGTTCAACAGTCGTAACCTCACCGACACATAGAATTATATATATATAATAGGAAGAGTTTCGATCGAAGGGATGAGAAGAAGCAGAGGGAGGAGGAATATCTTGGGGAGAAGGGGAAGTTGTGGGTCCGGTTTCGGAGGGTTTAGAACAAGGAGGGGGAAGTGATGAGCAGTAAGCTAATTTAGGTGCTCTTTTAGCATCTTCTTGGACCAAGCATCTGTTGCCTGTTCTCTGCCAAGCAACCCTAGCTTCTGCTAGTGCCATTACTCTTCCATTTCTTTTCTTTCTAAACCCTAATTTCATAAGGAGAAAATGGTTTCCTGACAACACCATATGGATCATATGAGACAATTCACCCGAACGTACTAGAGGTAAGTAGGTCGTACTTCTGCCGACGGAGTATAAGACCAAAGCTGCATTGTATTTCGTCGCTATCGACATTCCCATATGATACGATCCTAGCAAGCTCCAAGTTGAAGAATTGGAAGAAGCGAAAGCGTACAAGTTTAAGGAGTTTATTCGGTTTGGAATTGAAGAACGAAAGCTTGGATCAGGTCTTTGAGGAGTCCATGGTTTGGAATTGGAAGAAAAGAAAGAGAAGAAGTCGTTGGACAAGTCGAATTCCATGCATCCGAGATTCTCGCCTATTCTGGCAGATTTTACCATTCGAGTTATAACTCTCGCATCCGAAGTCCAATTGAGCTGATTCAAAATGATTCAGAAAGCTAACTGAAAGATCTACAACTTTTATGTTTTGAGCGAAGAGATATTCGAAGTGGAACAGTGTCGAAATTGAGCTTTAATTGCATGCACGTGCACAGCCCAATGTCGCGAGTTAAGAAGGGTGATCGAGACGTCGACTTGAAGATCAAGTTATCTTATTTAATTATGCACGTTTTTTAATTTAGGTTTTATTATGTTTTTATTATTTTAGAGTTCTTTATGGTTAGGATTTGCTTATTTACAAGTTTCCTTATTATAGTTTAGGTAGGAGTCCTTTTCCTTGTGAAAAAGGAGTCTTTTTAGATCTTATAAATAGGTTGCCAATTTGGCTTATTTGATGGGACGAATTTTAATGATTTAAATTGAGTTTATTTTCTTTGGTTCTTTAAGAACTGTTCGAACATATCGGTGGATTCCGTCTGTTCACCCCGACTTATCAATCGAACTTTCGCAATCGATTGTGGCGTCTTCGCATACACCCCTTTGATTCCTTCTTTAGGACGGTCCGGGATTTTGATATCCGAAGTATTGATATCGGATCTCGTCACATTGTTGGCGAGGTTTGTATCATTTGGTACTCAGAGCCATCTTCCTAAGAAGGTTTCGCCTATCCTTTATCTATTTTTTTTTTGAGTCAATCTTTGTTTCGTGTTTTCGTTTTGTTTTTTTCGTTTCGTGTCTATTTTCGTTGAGTCGTCTAGTTTTTCTTTTTGGTTATTTAGAGTTCATAAAAAAAAAAAAAAAAAAAGAAAGTCAAAAAAAAATTCGAATTTTTTTTTTGAAGTTTCTTCGAGTCTAAGTAAGGTTTCTCTAGAGTCCGAAAAAAAAAAAAAAAAAAAAAACTTTGATTATGTCCGAGAAATCCGGTTATAAAGGAGAAAGAGTTGAGGAGCGTAGGATGTCGGCAATGGAATCCATATTTAAAGAACTTGAGGGAATCCACGATCGATTGGATGAACTTGAAGCCCAAATATATGAACCACACAAAGATCAACATGTTCGAGGGCCATACGTACGACGTGATGTTCATCAACCGGTTATACCTCACCGTGATAAAGAGGTTTATGTTGACAGATGTTTTGGTGTGATCCCTTGCACATCGAGGGAGAGTATGGGACGAGGGTCTGGATGGGATAGATCGAGTCGAGGATACTTTGATCGAGAAAGAGAGGGCGCAAATCGAAACCATAGCTCAATGAAATTGACTATACCATCTTTTCAAGGTAAGAGTGATCCCGAGGCGTACATTCAATGGGAAAGAAAAGTTGAACACGTATTCGATTGCGATTACTATTCAGAAAAGAAGAAAGTGAAGCTCGTCGTCGAAGCGTTCATTGACTATGCAATTAGTTGGTGGGACCAATTTGTCTTAACTAGGCGCCGTTGTGGCGAACCACCAATTGATGATTGGGAGTCCATAAAGGCTGTTATGAGAAAGAGGTTCGTTCCTTCACAATATTATAGGGACTTACAATTTCAAAGGTTGAGGCAAGCTACTAAGATAGAAGAACGGAGTTCGCCAAGTTGGGAATCACAATGGAGATCTTCAACGAGCCAAAAGAGAGAACCCTTAAAAAATCCCAAAGCAAAGGAAATTCTACAAGACAAAAGAGACTACGAGGAATTGAAGAAAAAGGGTGATTCTTTATCGCCACTTGAAAAGGAAGATACTCGTCAAGGTTTTGAGAATGAGAACAGTCAAGCGAATTCGGGAATTGCTGATCCAATCGTTGAAGAAGAGGTTAATGAGAGTTCAGATCTCGAGTCCAAGGGGGAAGAAAATAGCAAACCCGCCCCACCAATGGAAGAAAAAGAAGGTTCGGATTCGATTTCGAATCCTTTTGAAGAGGTGGAGAATGATATGATCCAGCCATGCATCGAAGCTAGTGCCGAGCTAACCGGATTGCAAATTCTTTCAATACAAGCTGATGAAGATGGTGTGTTCTGCGAGGTGGTGGAGAGATGTGTAAGTTTGCTGCCAAGGAGAGAGATCGATCATGAAATCAATTGTGTTAATACTCCTTGTGATATTTGTCCGGATTCGAGGACGAATCCTTTTAAAGAGGGGGAGTATGATACGATCCTAGCAAGCTCCAAGTTGAAGAATTGGAAGAAGCGAAAGCGTACAAGTTTAAGGAGTTTATTCGGTTTGGAATTGAAGAACGAAAGCTTGGATCAGGTCTTTGAGGAGTCCATGGTTTGGAATTGGAAGAAAAGAAAGAGAAGAAGTCGTTGGACAAGTCGAATTCCATGCATCCGAGATTCTCGCCTATTCTGGCAGATTTTACCATTCGAGTTATAACTCTCGCATCCGAAGTCCAATTGAGCTGATTCAAAATGATTCAGAAAGCTAACTGAAAGATCTACAACTTTTATGTTTTGAGCGAAGAGATATTCGAAGTGGAACAGTGTCGAAATTGAGCTTTAATTGCATGCACGTGCACAGCCCAATGTCGCGAGTTAAGAATGGTGATCGAGACGTCGACTTGAAGATCAAGTTATCTTATTTAATTATGCACGTTTTTTAATTTAGGTTTTATTATGTTTTTATTATTTTAGAGTTCTTTATGGTTAGGATTTGCTTATTTACAAGTTTCCTTATTATAGGTTAGGTAGGAGTCCTTTTCCTTGTGAAAAAGGAGTCTTTTTAGATCTTATAAATAGGTTGCCAATTTGGCTTATTTGATGGGACGAATTTTAATGATTTAAATTGAGTTTATTTTCTTTGGTTCTTTAAGAACTGTTCGAACATATTGGTGGATTCCGTCTGTTCACCCCGACTTATCAATCGAACTTTCGCAATCGATTGTGGCGTCTTCGCATACACCCCTTTGATTCCTTCTTTAGGACGGTCCGGGATTTTGATATCCGAAGTATTGATATCGGATCTCGTCACATTGTTGGCGAGGTTTGTATCACCATATCCGGAAATAACATCCATTTGTCCGGACCACAGGGTCCTTCTTGCCAATCACATATTGCAATCCATCATATGACTTCATGTTGGCCATTTTGCGATGCGTACGTACCAAATTGCTCGTACATATCAGCAATTAATTCTCTCCTCACACGACTCCATGTTAATCTCGAAACACTGCTTCTGCAACACATCTGTACCCACAATTTCCATGCCCGACAACATTAACATAGGACACAATAGATCATGCCACAAAACATGGGATGTAAGATCTGAAATTGAGCTCCTCGCCCGGTTTCTTTTGAGGCGTCGACATACGATTCTGATTGGCAATAGATTCATCACTTGATTTACCACTCCCACGACCGCGCCCCCGTCCGCGACCGGGAGCGGGATCGGTTACTTTCGATGATGGGGTTCCCGTAGAAGTACTTTTTCGACCCTTAGAACCTGCAGACGATTACCCTTTTCTTCATCAGTAGACGACTTCGGCGGGAACCGTGGGTACTCCCAACCGGAATTATCTCTCTTCGTCGATTTATCCTTTGGCCGTTCATTTGGTTTAACATATGTAGGCTCAGCCAAGTGGATAGTGTCTGGATTATATAGTGTTATTCATGTAATCAACAGTCATTTTTTGAGACATGTAATCCTTTTGAAACACTTCAGTGGTTAGTATGATTATCCGGTCTCTCATATCTGCGTCCCGGTCTACCTGTACTTCGGGTATTTATGGTTCTTCAACGTGCATGGTACTCCAAAATGGATGTAGATCCATAGTTATAAACGTATCACGTTAAATTTGGCACGCACACGGAAGTCCATGAGTAACCCACAAAATGTGATCACAACTAGATGGGTCTTCTACCCCCGGTTTACCGAGCTCATCATCAAGCAAATGAATGCATCATGTGTGACCTTTCAATATCAAACCCTGAAATACTGGATACAATGCTTTATGCATCCTGATTAAGTTGGATTTTGAAAACTCACCCTTGATCCTGGTAAGTTGACGCTCGACCCCGGAATCAAGCTG